ACGAATTACTCACAAATTACATCACAAATCACGTGATTTGAATTGCGGAATTGCGGATTACTATGCGTAATTCAATTTAAAAATCCGCAATATTGCAGATTTGAAAAAACAATTGCAGTATCATCCTTAATTATATATTATTTTCTGAAAAAGTGATGTTTATTATTAGCATCAGTAAATTTAATAGGACATAATATTATGTAAACTTTATTTTTAAATTCTGGACTTATGACTGGTATTACTTGGATATATTAAAACTGTATTTCATTAAGACTGGTATGTTATCACAAAGATTCATATTAGCTGTAGTTGTTATGAAGGCTTAAAATGTTACTCTGACTCACAAAGATTTATAATATCACTCAGATTTCACAGATGTATAATATCACTTAAACAAAAATGTAAAATATCATGCAGATATATAAGATAAATAATAAAACAGTTTATTGATAAATAATAAGAAAGAAAATAAAAAAAGAGGATTTCACAAAAACAAAAAAGCATACAGCTATTTAAGAGGTTTTTAAGAGAATTATTACACACAACTAGGTTAAATTTTGCCTGAAATATCATTCTGATTTACAAGGATTTATAATAATATAATAAAGAAGAAAGTAAGAAAATAAAAGAAAAAAAGATAAGAAAAACATTAGCATTAGGTTAGAGAAAATCCAATTTCTTACCATTCTAACATTTACAAACCATCCTATTTATATAAAATAATTTATATATAATAACAATTTAATTATATTAGCTATATTAAATAAATTAAATATATCAAATCTATAAAAAATATTTGACATTCTTGACATTCTTAACATTCTTAACATTTCTAACATTTTTAATATTTCTAATATTTTATAACGTTACATATGCAAATTAATTTATAGAACATCCAGTAGATTAATTCTGTGTATTTATTTGTATAATTCCTTTAGTAGATCGATTTAGTGAAATATGTTGATTATTTACTTTACCATATTTTTCTGATTAAAATAATTCTGTAACAGTAGAGAAATCAAAAAAGAGAAAATTAATAGAGAAGAAATGAGTAGTAAAGAAAAAGTGAGATATTTAGTAGAGAAGCAAAAACAATTAATAGAAAAGAAAAAAGAGAAAAAAGACAAAATAAGTATTTGTTAATATTAATATTAAATAAAGGGTTTTCATACCAACTGAATAACTTTCGTTGAGAAATGAAAAGGGTTTTTTGTTTATTTTTTTAAATCAAGCAAATTTTAATTAGTCAATTTATAAAATCTGAAAAATTATGACTATTTACAAAAAATATATATTTTAAATATTTTAATAAATAAACAATATTATTAATAAATATTTACATAAGAAATTTTTGTCAAAGAAAGAAAAAAGATAATTAGATTTTATTTTATTATATCATATAATCAAATTAATTTTGATTGGTCAATTTTAAAATGCTGAATTAATATTTAATAAATATAATATTTTTTTTTAAATATTAACACAAATTACAAAATTTTTATTAAAAATATAAAATATAAAGAAAAAAGAAGAAAATATCGCTAATTTATGTATCTAAACGTAAAACTATTTTTAAATATAAAAGAAAAAAAATTTTTTGCCAATTTTTTTTAGTAATCATCACTAGTATTATTATTATCACTCACTTTATCACTTTCTGCCATTTCATCTATTTTTTCTTCTTTTTCTTTTTCTTCTATTTCTGCTTCATTAAAATTATCATTAAAATCATCATCTTTTTCATTAGAATATAAAAATTTCCTATTTATAACTCTTCACTAAATAATATAATAATAATAATAAATTTAAATACTTGCATTAAATTTTATGCAAATGCAAATTTATAAAGCTTACTATATTTTGTAAACTTTTTGTTTTATAAATTTTTCAGAAATTTTTATATCTTGATTAATAAGATCTAAAATATTTTGCATGTGCTAATTGCAAATATGATTTTAATATTGAAAATATTATTTTGCCAGACTATATCTTATTAATGATCTGATTTATAAATGTACATGATTCTTCACTTTTATCTTTAAAGATGTCATTGAAGCATTTACTAATAGCTGGATTATTCTTCTATTATTGGATTTGTGAAGATTTTGTATTGATATTAATTTTAGAAAGATTATATCTATCAAAAAATGTAATATAATGCACTTTTGATATTAGATGCTAACGTCCTGCAGAAGCTTTGATATTTACTTACTAGCTATTAAAAAAAGGTTTAATGAGATTGAATTATAATTATTAATAAATGATTTAAATTATTTAAATTATTTCTTACTTTCTGACTAATTATTCCTTCATAATAAATAATCTATTTATTCTTTCTATTATATTTTCTAAAATATTTCTAGTATTCTTTAAGTAAAAACTTTTCAATCGCTTATTTATATCATCTGATATTAGATATATCACTGTATTTAAGAAAATCTTTACGATATTTGAAATAATAAGCTAAGAAGTTTAATAATTAGAATAGTTAGCGTAAATTTGCAATACGAATATATTAGTTTTAAAATTAATTTATATGTGAATACATACATTTAAGAACTTTTCTTCTTCATCTTTTTTATTATTTTTATTACCATTATCTTATTATAATAAATTTTTAATCTTTGAAATACGATTTTTAAGAGCTTTTTAGCTGAAAATTAATAAATTAAGCTTTATTATGATTCTCAAATTTTAACTTATTAATTTTTCTAATGATTTTTCTAAATGATCTTTATAAATGATAAAAATAAAATTATTAAAATCCCACTTTTAAAATATAAATATTAATTAAATATATATCATTATCAGTTTTTTTTTCAGAATATGACATAATTTTAAATAATTAAAAAAAGAAAAAAATATTAATGTATAGACAAATTAAAGAAAAAATGATTTCTTGAAATGTATTTATATAAGAAATAGCAACTAACAAACATTACTAAGAAAAAAATTAATAGCAAATTAATATAAAATACATTAAAATGCAGCAGATTCTAATGTAACAGACATTCACAATTTACCAAAAATAATAGCAGTGGATTCTGATGCAGTAGACAGCCACAATTTTATATTCGCAATCACAAAGAACAATTGTCAAATAACCCAAAAATGTGGCAGTTTTCGCTATGATAATAAATTACATTCACAACTAAAGATGGTACAGCAATTGATTTCAAATTTACAAAATGTTGCAACATAAGCTAAAATTAGTTGCAATATATGTTGCAACATTATAAGTTGCAACATATATAGGTTAAAACTAATTGCAACGTAAGTTGCAACATTACATATTAATTACAGTTCCCATCTTTATTCACAACAATTAGAATGATTATTAAATAAATCAAAAATGTGGCAAATTCTAATGCAACGAATAGCTACAATTTACTAAAAATAGTAGTAGATTCTATTGCAGTAAACAGCATTGTAATTTACATTTGCAACTACAAAGAAAATTATCAAATAAGCCAAAAATGTGGCAGATTCTGCTACGATGGCAATTTACATATATAACAATTAGAATGATCATTAAATAAATCAAAATGAGACAGGTTCTAATGCAGTAATCAATCACAATTTTCATTTGTAATGATAAGAATAATTGCTAAATAAACCAAAAATGGATAACTGCAATTTTACATTCACAACTACAAAGAACAATTGTCAAATAAACCAAAAATGCAATGAGTTCTACTATGATGACAATTTACATTTGCAACAATTAGAATTATCATTAAATAAATCAAAAATATAGCAAATTTTAATGCAGTAAACAGCCACAATTAACCAAAAATAGTAGTGGATTCTATTGTAGTAAACAGTTTCACAATTTTACATTCTCAATTATAAAGAACTATCATCAAATAAATTAAGATATCACTGCAAGCTTCATAGAAACAAATGCCAGAACGAATCAAATGTTATTTCGCATGCGATGTATTAAGGATTATATATGTCATATTGAACAAAGATTATCTAATATTCCTATTATAGAGAAAGGATTATTCCAATAGTTGTTGAATGCTAAACGAGAATGCCTTCCCTGAAAACTTCAGAATAGAGGAATTTTTCCAGATATAGATTCTATTATCTGGAATAAAGATGTGTCAACTATTCGATTGTGGGTAGCATATATGTTGAAAAATTTTTGTTCCCGATGTTTATTTGGTTGGAAAATGGTTGATTTTCTCCGAAAGGCAGGTATGGAAGTTTCTGTCATAAAATTCATTCATAAACCTGAAGATACTACAATATTACTATCCCAAACAGTGAATGTGAGTTCTTCTATTGTTAAAGCAGAGGAGATATCAGATTTATCTAATGCTTTTATTATCAATCATGAGACTGCTGAATTATTGGAGAATAAACCAAAGAAAACTTTAGAAGAGATGCACTCTTTAGACCAGTATCATATTGTGGATTGCTATGGAGTTTCACCTGAATTACTAACCGAAGACTTTATCTCAAAATATGGGAATTACAATCACATGAAATGGTTTAGAGTTTATAAGCAACTATGAGATGCTGGTATTAATAATGAAATAGCTGTTGAGCTATTTCCCATAAAGATTACAAAGAAAATAGACTTACAACAGCATTCCGAGCTGAGAGGCATAAAATTTGCCTAGAATTATTAAAGTTTTGCATGCCAGCTAGAGATATTGATTATAGAGCCAGATATAAATCTGATGAAGTTAAGATGTGTCTGAATTCTCCTGAATCATTATCATATCTTCATGATTTATTTCCCAGAATGGCTCAGGTATTTGATAATACAGATGCATCACGCAGAGCTAAAAAATCAGGATTAAAAACAGATCGAGCAAAACTTGGTTTACTGAATTCAGCATTATATGCAACTTATGGGTTAAAATTTAAGGCTATAAATAGGAGTCACAGATATTACCATCTAGATGGATCATTCAATACTAATGATCCTAAATTACCTTCATACCAAACGGGTGAAGAAATTTATTGGGTAAATAGGGAAGATATCCGATATGGATATAGTAAACTCCTACCTGATGAATTAATATTAGATAATTTTACTAATTCTAGCAAACTGGATAACACACAAATCACAGAAGATATTTGGGACTTATTCGATATGTGCTAATACTATTTGATTACAAATCAGGTATGTGTAGTCTTCTGCTATTTTATATAATATAATTCTGCAGAAGGCTACACTTATTTAGGTAGATCTGAAATACTAACTCCATACTTCTGCCTC